AGATGTTGGCGAGGATGTGGAGAAAGGGGAACGCTCTTGCACTGTTGGGGGGAATGTAACTGGTGTAGCCACTCTGGAAAACAGAATGGAGGTTCCTCAAAAAGTTAAATATAGAACTACCCTAGTTCCAGCAGTTGCATTAGTAACTATTTATACAAAGAATACAAAAATACCAATTCAAACGGATACATGCACCCCAAAGTCTATAGAAGCATTATCTACAAGAGCCAAATTATACAAAGAGCCCAAGTATCCATCGACGGATGGATAAATGCATGGTATAGATACATGATGGAATATCACCCAGCCATAAAAAAGATTGAAATCTTGCCATTTGCAATGACATGGATGGAGCTACAGAGTATTATGCTATGGCTACAGAGTATTATGCTATGGGAAATAAGTCACTCAGAGAAAGACAAATACCATATGATTTCACTCATATGTGGAAGTTAAGAACAAAAAAAATGAGCAAAGGAAAAAAAAAAAAGAGAGAGGCAAACCAAGAAACAGATTCTTAGCTATACTGAACAAACTGATGGTTACCAGAGAGAGAGGAGGTCAGTGCGGGGAGGGAGGGATGGGTTAGATAGGTGATGAGGATTAACGAGTACACTTGTGATGAGCACTGGGTATTGTATGGAAGGGTTGAATCACAATATTGTACACCTGAAACTAATACACTATATGTTAACTAACTAGAATTTAAGTAAAAACTTAGGGGTCCCTGGCTGGCTCAGTTGGTAGAACTTATGAGTCTTGATCTCTTGGTTGTGTATTCAAGCCCCAAGTGTGGCATGGAGTTTACTTAAAATAAAATTTAAAAAAAAGAAAAAGAAAATACATAAAATCTTTAAAAAATACATTTAAAAAGGATATAAAAATTAATTATTATTAAATAAAAAATTGTAAAAATTAATAAAATATCTCTAAGCCCTTAAATGTTACTTTTATTCTGTTACTCTCTTGTTAAAACATACCAAATGCGTACTCCGTCTACCTTTCAAGGCTTTTGTAATCTTCCATTTTCCCAGCTCAGCATAGTTTTAATAATTTCTAACAGAATCCTCTACTGCAGAAATTTAGAATAGATGCCTCATGGCCCCCATAAATAAACCCTATTCATCCTGAGTATATCCTTTCAGTGTTGCTGTTCTCTCTATGGAACTCTTTCACCCCACTTCTGCTGATCTAAATGATCTTACTCTTTTAAGATTGCTCTCTCCCAGAAAAATATCTCCCAAAACTCCAGATTTTAGTACCTTTCTACTCTTATTATAATTACATTTTATATTACAGAATACAGACTACATTATACTCTCTATAGTGTTGCTATGGTGCTCATAGACATTAGTACTCTCTTCTTGACCAGATGGTAAATTTATTACAATTTATATTGAAGGGTGGCAAAATCTGCCACCCCAAAATATGCCACTTTGGAATAAGAATTATTTTGAGTTAAAGACACTTGAAAAACAGCAAATACAAAAAGAGTGCTCTGACTTCCCCTTTTTTTCCTGAAAGCAGGAGATAAAACTCCCATGTGAAAGATGGCCTCCCCGTATCAGGAGGAAAGAAACATTCTTATCACCAGAGACAGGGAGTGGAGGCTGAGAGGCATCTGTGCAAACAGACCTCATAAAAATAACTCATCTTCCTTTAACCTCCCCATATATTTTAGTTATGTTTCCACACTGCCTCTCTTTGTTCAACGTATAAAAGCATTTAGGTTTTGCCATTTCTTTCAGACATCATTTCCTTATGAGGTCTCCCATGTTACATAAAACTTCTACTGAAACAATCCCATTTACAATTGCACCAAAAGGAATAAAATACCTAGAAATAAGTTAAACCAAGGAGATGAAAGATCTATACTCTGAAAACTATAAGACACTGATAAAAGAAACTGAAAAAGATACAAATAGAAAAGCTATACCATGCTCATGGATTTGAAGAATAAATATCGTTAAAATGTCCATGCTACCTAAGGCAACCTACATATTCAAAGCAATCTCTATCAAAATACTAATATCATTTTCCACAGAACTAGAATAAATAATCCTAACATTTGTACAGAACCACAAAAGACCCCGCATTGCCAAAGTAATCTTGAGAAAGAAGAACAAAGCTGGAGGTATCACAATCCCAGATTTCAAGAAGTTCTACAAAGCTATAGTAGTCAAAATAGTATAGTACTGGCACAAAAACAGACACATAGAACAATGGAACAGAATAGAGAGCCCAGAAATAAACACACCTATAGGGTCACTTAATCTATGACAAAAGAGGCAAGAATATACAACAGGGAAATGACGTCTTGTCAATAAATGGTGTTAGGAAAACTGGACAGCTACATGAAAAAAATGAAAATGGACCACATTCCTATACCATACACAAAAATAAACTCAAAATGGATTAAATACCTGAATGTGAAACCTTAAACCATAAAATTTCTAAAAAATAAAACATAGGCAGTAATCTCTTTTATTAGCAACACGTTTATGGATATGTCTCCTCAGGCAAGGGAAACAAAAGCAAAAACAAACTATTGGGACTACACCAAAATAAAAAGCTTTTGCACAGCAAAGGAAATTACCAACAAAACAAAAAGGAAACCTAGAGAACGGGAGAAGAGATGTGCAAATGATATATCTGGTAAGTGGTTAATATCCAAAATTTATAAAGAACTTACACTACTCAACATCAAAATAAATAACCTGATTTAAAAATAGGCAGAGGGCCTGAATAGACATTTCTCCAAAGACATGCAGATGGCCAATAGACACATGAAATGATGCTCAACATCACTGATCATCAGGGGGGGAAAAAAATCAAAACCATAATGAGATATCACCTCACACCAGTCAGAATGGATAGTATCAGAGACAAGAATCAACAAGTGTTGATGAGGATGTGGAGAAGCGGGAACCTTCATGCGCTGTTGGTGGGAATGTAAATTGGTGTAGTCACTGTGGAAGACAGCATGGAGATTCCCCAAAACATTAATATTAGAAATACCATATGATCCAGTAATTCCACTGCTGGATATCTGCCCCCAAAACTGACACAAATCCAAAAAGATATGTGCACATCTCTGTTTACTGCAGCAGTATTTACAATAGCCAAGATATGGAAGCAACCAAGTGTGTGCATTGATATATGAATGGATAAAGAAGATGTGCAGGCTGTGTGTGCGTGTGTGTGTATGTGTATACATACATATGCATGTGTACATACACACACACATATATACATACATGTATATATATATATATTACTTAGCCATAAAATATTACTTAGCCACAAAAAAGAATGAGATCTTGCATTTGTGACAACATGGATGGACCTAGAGGGTATCATGCTAAGTGAAATAAATCAGACAGAGGAAGACAAATACCATATGATTTCACTTATACACGGAATCTAAAAAACAAAATAAAGAAACAAACCAACAGCCTCTTAAATACAGAGAGGTGGTTGTCAGAGGAGAGGTGGGTAGGGGGATGAATGAAGTAGATAATGAGAATTAAGAGGTATAAACTTTCAGTTATAAAATAAGTAAGTCACAGATATGAAAAGTATAGCTCAAAGAATACAGTCAATAATATTATAATAATGTTTTATTGTGACAGATGGTCACTACACTTATTGTGTTGAGCACTGAATATATGGAAATATTCAATCAATATGTTGTACACCTGAAAATAATATAATATTGTATGTCAGTTATACTTCAATAACAATAAAAACAAATGTGTATACTTTCATCCTGTTAATCTGCCTTATGTTAATTTAAGTCTAAGTCCCAGCTGTAAACTCTAAGAGGGTAGAGATGAAGTTTTATCTCCACTACAATATTTTTTAAGTTTTACACACAGCATCTGAGTGATTAACAGGAGCTTATTACTGGAATGAGTCCTAGGACATTATTTTAGCCTTTCTGGTAATCCAAGAACACTGTGCAATGATGACTGTATCTGTTAAAATCAGGAACGTCTTTGTAAAGTCAAGACAATGAAATGTTTAAAGGTTTCTGAAGGCACATATCAACTTGCACCTTGGAAGAGTAACCAGAATGTAAAAAAAATAATACACGAGGGGCTCCTGGATGGCTCAGTCGGTTAAGCATCTGGCTCTTGATTTTGGCTCAGGTCATGATCTCATGGTTTGTGAGACTGAGCCCTGCACCAGGCTCTGCACTGACAGCATGGAGCCTGCTTGCTTGGGATTCTCTCTCTCTCTCTCTCTCTCTCTCTCTCTCTCTCTCTCTCCTCTCTGTCTGCCTGTCCCCAATGCTGGCGCACTCTCTCTCTCTAAGTAAATAAATAAACATTTAAAAATTATATATATAATACAAGATGCATTGGTAATGAATAAAAAAAAAAAGAAAAACTAAAATGCTAACCTAGTTTGGAAAGGCAGAAAAGCTCCAATGGCATTAGTGACACTACTAAACTGCATACAGTTGAGCAATAGAACCATCTGGTGTTTTAAGCCGTAGTGGACACATTTGGTTTCTCAATCATTGCTATCAGTACGACCACGAGCCATCATTATTCAAAGCTAAGGGAACAACCTTCACCCTGACAATGGAATAGACTTGGTCTGCAGTTTATAGTTCCTGCTTCTGCACCAGTGCTCAGTAGGCTGACAAGGTGGGAAGATGACCGACCGGTTGTACTGTCCCAAGCATGTGCCATCAGCTGGGCTAAAGAACATGGGGTGGAAAGCAAAAACTCTGAAACGTGAGAGCATATTATCAAAATATCAGACATAGTTATGGGCTGGGAAATTAAGCAATCATAAATGGCATGGTCAGGAGAATCATTCCCCAGCTTGGGAAGCTCCTGTAACACATCAGCCTCCTCAATCATGGAAGGGTGATAATTGTCAAATGTATCGCAATACACATAAAGACGAATAATAGCAAATTTTCACATAAGGTATCATTAATATAAACTTTAATGTAGTTACATTTAAATTTTTAATGAGAAACTTACCTTGCAGAACTTGACTTCTGCCTCTAAATGATGAATGTACTGAGACTGGTCATTGATGATCGGAACAAGATTGTGGATAGTAGGCACGTTGGCTTCCTCATCTTCTGACGCCAGCTAAGGCAAGAAACAAACAAAAACTAAGCATGTTTGGATTTAGCAGAGACTCAGGTAATACTGCCTCCATACTCAATTTAGTACTGATGTCATATAAACATCGAGGAGATCACAATGTGGCTAATAGTGTTCATTTCTCTATCCTATAAATTTCACATAGATAAGATTCAAGGATACCAATATCATGTGTTAAAGATGGAAAGTGGAAGTGTTTACAAAAAGAGTGGCAAGTGGAAGAATGCTGGACTAGTCTAATTGGCTTGGGAAAAACTGCCCATTAGAGCCATCTGGAAATGGGACGTCCCATTCAGTAATGCGGAGATAAAAGGACAGCTCCCTTCAAGAAACTGCCATGCAAGAGCACTGCTGCCTAAAACTGAACAGTTGCTGGAAGAAGGGATTCTTCAGACAAGCATTTGCCGCCAGGTGGGTCAATGAGGTAAAATTCTACAAAGGAGTACATTAGCCAAACGTGGTTTCTGAGTTTTGACTCAAGGCAATTGGACACCCTGCTGGTCTGGGGCACAGAGCCTCCAAAACTAGAGTGCTAAAGCAGACACTGGAGAAAACTCAAGAGTTCCCTTGCACCGGAGTCCAGAGAAGAGACTTCCTGCGAACTCCTGCAGCATTCCTGAATTGACTTTAATATCATATATATCCTACTTTCTCCTTGAATGATTGCAGAATGGTTTCTAGAATCATTTATCATTCCATGACATTTTGTAAAGAAAAGAAGAAGTCAGAAAAGTCATCCAGATAGATGAACCCAGAGAAAGCTTGAGATCAGACACCCAGTCACTATTTCTCAGTCTGGCAGAAATTCCTGACGACAACAAAGTACCAGCTCTCACGGCAGAATAATTAAGTAGAGTTTTGCTTCTTGGAACATTTAAGAAATTTAAAAATCAAAATAACTTTAATTAAATGGATGATCTGTTGTGAATAGAAAGCAATTCATTATAGTAAAGGTATATTAATAGAAATGGGTCCAGAATATGGCAAATAAGAATTAAATATCACTCTGGGCACATAAAGGACAGTCTGTGTAAAAATAAAACAAAATAAAACAAACAAACAAAAAAAAAAAACACAAGCTAATACTCTGTGGAAAATATAATCACCTGTATATATTTTGAAGGATTTATCATAGTCTGGATATCCACATTTCAAAAAGCCATAAAATCCTTCTCAACCGTGTCTCGATTTCACTGTCCATACAGCCCCTTATTTCCAGTACGGCATATGGGCTATGAAAGTGCATCTAGGGGCACCTGGGGGGCTTAGTCGGTTAAACGTCCAACTCTTGATTCCGGCCCAGATCATGATCTCACGGTTTCGTGAGTTTGAGCCCCTCACTGGGCTCTGCGCTGACCATGCAGAGCCTACTTGGGATTCTCCCTCTTTCTCTGTCCCTACCCCCGCTCGCACTCTCTCTGCCTCTCTCCAAATAGATAAATAAACTTCACAAATAAAAGTGGATCTAAACCTTCAAAAGCTGCTTATTATTACTGTGGCTTGTAATCCTTCCACGTGGCTCCATGTACACAGACCTGTGCATCTGTAATGTACATGCTGCACATACTGCTCTGATGATACTCTTGATGAGGCTCCTCCCACTCTCCAGGTTCAATCCTGCTGCTGCTTTGTAGCTTTAAAATGCTAATCAGCGTGTCTGAGCATTCAACAGATACAGCAACTTCATCTACTAGACTTGAAAGTACCCCACCCTGTCTACTGAAGAGCATTCTAGAAGCTAGGTGGCAACAGTAATACATTTACTTAATGGTGAAATGTTGTATTAAAATTATAATTGAGAGCCGTAAATATTGAATAGGCATATGTAGTACATTTCTCCAGAGTGGGAATTAAGCAGGAAGGTATGTGTCAGGCTGGAATGAAGTGTTAATATAGGGGTACGGTTATGACATTTCGGCTGTGAGTAGAGAAAGTGACGTGTCTCCATGGTTTCTAGCAAATAGCCTTGGTATCTAACTGTCACACACACTGAAAATGCAAGGTAGTTATTGCTACTATGAAAAGTTCTATTTGTGTCACACTTCACAGGTTCATAAAGAATTTTAAGTATATATACTCTTATCTTATTGTTACAGAAACCCTGGGAGACACAATATCCTTCTAGAAAGTACACAGTAGGCCTTAGATACACCTAAAGGCTAGACTGTTATTTTGGCCATTTAAATCTGGCCAAATCCTCTCCCTCCCTCACATCTATCCCAGGCTTTAGTGTATCATACTGCCTCAATCAGGAATAATTCACTCTGCTAAAGCAATAGCAATAAAAAACAACTTCAAGGGGAGCCTGGGTGGCGCAGTCGGTTAAGCGTCCGACTTCAGCCAGGTCATGATCTCACAGTCCGGGAGTTCGAGCCCCGCGTCGGGCTCTGGGCTGATGGCTCAGAGCCTGGAGCCTGTTTCCGATTCTGTGTCTCCCTCTCTCTCTGCCCCTCCCCCGTTCATGCTCTGTCTCTCTCTGTCCCAAAAATAAATAAACGTTGAAAAAAAAAATTAAAAAAAAAAAAACAACTTCAAACAAAAATAGAATATAGCTTCTCATTTTGTGCAATTTTATAACCATGTATTTTAATGCATGAATTAAAAAATGCAGAATAAGATTGCATACTTTGGCTTTGACATTCAAAATAGACAAATATTACAAAGGACAGCTAGATATACAATTAAGTAAATTCTAAAAATGATAGGATATCAATAGGAACCTGTTGAAAAGGCAATGGAAGCCTATGGAAAAGGCAATTCTTTTCCATATATTGTTCCTTTTTTATATTTGCTAACAGTTGCAAAGTAACTTTTCCAAACTGTTTCCTCACTTACATGTTTCAAGCACACAATAGATTTAAAACTCAGGATTCCCTCTGCCTCTTCTTCAGCCAAAATAATCAGAGGAAAGATAATTCCTTTCAATGCTTTACATTATTAGAATGTCTTGCTCAGAATCTATCGACAAAATGTACTACTGAAACGACATTGTGGAGTTAAAACACAGAGACAATGCTCCTGTCAGGTTGCAGACGTTGATACTTACCAGAGGGGACACTTTTCGCCTTCTTGATGGAGACACCTCACTTTCCTTAGTTGCTTGTTGGCGCAACAAAGCTTTGAGCTGATTAACTGGAGAGCAAACACAATGGTTTCATCAGCCTTACTGCAGGGGCTTATCATCACCCATCCATGCTTCCATCCACGTAACAAATATTGTTTAAACATGTTCTAGGCATCAAGAACTGTGCCATGGACTGGGGATCCGAAGGCAAACATGAGAAAATCTCTACCACTTAAGAGCTAAGAATCCACCGAGCAAGAGAGATCCACTGACAGATATAAGACGATATAGTAAGTTCACATGTAGAGCAGCAGCTACACGTAGTGCTGTAAGAAGAGGAAGCGCCTAATCATGCCTGTTTTTTTTTAATTTGTTTTTATGTTTATCCATTTTTGAAAGACAGAGAGAGACAGAGCACAAGCAGGGGTGGGGCGGAGAGAGAGAGGGGGACACAGAATCTGAAGCAGGCTCCAGGCTCTGAGCTGTCAATACAGAGCCCGACCTGGGGCTCGAACCCACAAACCACGAGATCATGACCTGAACCGAAGCCGGACACTCAACCAACTGAGCCACCCCGGCGCCCCAATCATGCCTGTTTTTATGGAGGAGCTAACACTGTGAAGGATGAACAGAAGATTACCAAGCAGAAAAGGGTCCGAAAAATCCCACTTGGAGGGCGTGGCATATGCAAGAGCATAGAAGCAGGGCCAGAAGGTTGGTATGCACTAGAACATGCCTTGCAAGATGGGTGGCTGGGAGGAGGACAGAAAAATGAGGCTGAAGAGGTATCTTGGAGCCTCTTAAGAAAATATTGCTAAGACACACAAAGGAATTGGGACTTCAGCCTATAGGCATCACGAAGTCAAAGGAAAAATATTAAGGAGCGCCTGAATGGCTCAGTCAGTTAAGTGTCTGACTTCGGCTCAGGTCATGATCTCACAGTTTGTGGGTTTGAGCCCTGCATCAGGCTCAGTGATGACAGCTCAGAGCCTGGAGCCTGCTTCGGATTCTGTGTCTGCCTCTCTCTCTGCCCCTCCCCACTGGCACTCTGCCTCAAAAATAAATAAACATTAACAAAATATTCAGCAAGAGGATTATAGTAGTTGGTTTGTGTCTGAGGAAGAAAAGCCTAGCAGTAGAGCAGAGGGTGGACTGGAGTTGTTACTGTACGGGGTGGAGAATATTCTCGGTGTGTCATTCAGACCAGGGCTGTTATCCATCCACACTCACCGGCATGGCTGTGTCGCAGTTCGTGCCAGGCAGTCCCAGCGTCCTCATTTTTCTCATTTTCCTCATTTTCCTCATTTTCCACTCTGGGACCTGCAGCATCTTCTCCAACGGTGACATCACCTTCTCTCAGGGCACATTTCAGTTGGTGAATGCTTCTATTTGCACGTTCTGCAACAACAGCCAGGTGAGAATCAGGGCCTGGGAAGTCTGCATGCCACCATGCACACTTACCCAAAAAGACGGTTTCTAAAGAAGCAATTGTTTGTCGTACTTCATGGAAAAAAAAAGCAGAGTTTTGTTTCTAGCCTGCTGAAGACAGTGCTAGAGGAAGATGGAGATGGAGTTCATGGGTCAGAGGTTAGACCTGATGATCTCTAAGGTCCCTGACATCTCGGTGGTGGATATTCACTAAGTATAGCTCTATCGCCAAAGAGGATAATGGGAGAGAGCTCTTCCCCACCCTCCAAGCACTAACCCCACCCCAGAAAGTGCTCCCCCCTCCCCTCCTGGAGACACTGGGGTGGGTGGGCAGAACCGGCAAGAGGGACTCCACACCAAGTTCCTGCCCAGGGAAGCCCAGTTGCCCTGTGAGCCAGATGTCCCTCCCCAAACAGGAGACAGTTGACTACCCGGCCGCGTTTTGGTCAAGACTGAAATAGGTGATGTGCTCATAGTACCAGCCTCTGCAGTACAGTCCTTCTTCTGCCCTGCTTGCTGACCACATACTTGCGGAAAGTCTCGCTTAGTGAACCTCAACACCCCTAGAATTGGAGCTTCAGCTCATTAGCACATACTTAACATTACAGTCTGAAACAAAGTATCTGAAGGCATATTACTGTAGTAGTTCATCTCTACAAATAGCCTCCCACAAATCTAGCCTCATGCCCTTGCCCCCTCCAGGCTGTAACAGAGTAAGCCAGTGACCTGCACTTGCCAATGGAATTCAGAAGTTACACAAGGCCAGACCAGGCTTCATTTCTGAAATGTCTGGTAGCTTCTGTTTCCTCCCACTTGGAATCCATAAGCCACTAAGTAGGAAGTCTGCCTGATGGAGAGATTGTGGAGAGGCCATGTGGAAAGGAGAGGCTCTGAGACTATACAGGGAAGGAGAGGAGCCTGACCCCGCTGACCCCAGCAGGGCCTCTACATGACTCCAGCCCCAGAGGCCATGTAACTGCAATGGCACAAAAGAGACCAGAAGAAATACCCACCTGAGTCCAGTCAACTCACAGATCCGAGAGATACCCAAATGCCTCCAGTTGTTGCTGCCGGCCATCAGGCCTTACAGTGGTTAGCTACTCAGCAACAGGTAACTAAAGTAATTAGGCAGTGAAATACCTACCCGAAAGCATTTTCAGCAAAGGATCCAAGATTTACATTGAAAACAGACCTATACTGGGGTGCCTGGGTGGCTCAGTTGGTGAGGCGTCCAACTTCAGCTCAGGTCATGATCTCACAGTTTGTGGGTTTGAGCCCCACATCAGGTTCTGTGCTGTCAGCACAGAGCCTGGAGCCTGCTTTGGATTCTGGGTCTCCCTCTCTCTCTGCCCCTCCCCGGCTCGCTCACACACGTGCTCTCTCTGTCTCAAAAATAAACATTAAAAATTTTTTTTTCAAAGACCTATATTAATGATACTAGTGATGGCATTAATAATAATCCTATCCTACTTTATGGATATTTTTACAGAACAACTGGAGAACCAGGCAATCGATTGGCAATTTCACTAATTAAGGTCCATGTGCTTTCTCCATTTAAACTTGTTGTTTCTGCTAATCTCTTATGATTCAATTCACTGGTTCCAATCTAGAAACCTTTAACTGTAACAACAAGTGCTCCTTGTACGTTAGAGCTGGGACCCCGATTTCTGTCACCATTTTCATATTCTGACATTTGTATTTGAAAATTATTTTTTAATTCACTCATTGATTTACCAAACATCTACATATATCTAATATGAAAATTTATGTTAGAAAAAGATGGATTCCCATGCAAATTCACCTACATCTATTATCTATTTCAGATAGATTGCATCTAAACAATCCTCAAGGTCTTCGGAGGAGAGGAGCACCTTGGTGGCTCAGTCAGTTAAGCATCCGACTCTTGATTCCGGCTCAGGTTCTCCCAGTTTGTGAGAACGGAGTGTGCTTGGGATTCTCTCTCTCCCTCTCTCTGCCCCTCCCCTACTCATGGTCTCTGGTGCATACTCTCAAAAATAAATAAATAAACTTAAAAAACTTAACTACATTGAAAAAAAAAAACAAAAAACAACAGATCCTTAGAGGAGATGGTACGTTCCCTAAGAAGGAGCAACTCATAACAATGATAGTCAATGACATTCTTACTCTTCTGATCTAGGCTCTTCTTTGACAACTTAGATCTGTTTCTTCTTGTGGCCTCAGCAGAAAAGCTCCTAATCTTTGCCACCTATATGTGAACTCTAAGAGAGCAACAAAACAACTATCTTTTCATTACCAGCCATGGATGAAAATATATTTACAAACATATTCTGCAGGACCTTGAAAAACAGATTTTATTTTCTCCAAGCTCATTGATTTCAAAGTTTAGAACAGAAAAAGAGGAAAAAAAAAAAATACACTCTGTGTTACAAAATAGCTAATATAGGTTCTTCTCTTAGAGGAACTCGTTTTATTTCTTGATTAAACTAAAGAAAACAGGTCTTTCAGGTCAGGGTTCAACAATGAAATTTTATTATTAACTACACAAGAGACTCACTGCATTTATCTCTACGTTTCTCTCCACACACCAATCCTATTTCTGCACAGACCTTTCTGTGACAGGCCATCGGTGCTAAATACTAACTGAGCCTGGCTTCCTCTTACTCATCATGAGTTTAAGAAAAGCCTAGATAAGACACATTACTAGTTTTAGCAAAATAAGAAGTAGCAATGGTTTTCCCATAACTTCGGATTTTCTAAAGAGACTTGTTAATGGAAACGGAAAACCAAAGTGTTACTTGATAAGAAATTTAGTTCACAGAGCTTTAGATTTACACATGGAATCTATGAATAAAGTACTTATCTTTACTGCATCCATTAGAAAGGAAACAGAGTCTGACTAACACTAGAAGTGTGCTCTGTCGGGGGCATGTGGGTGGCTCAGTCAGTTAAGCATTCAACTCCTGATTGCGGCTCAGGTAATGATCCCAGGGTCATGGGATTGAGCCTCACGCCAGGCTCTGTGCTGAGTGTGGAGCCTGCTTAAGATTCTTTCTCCCTTTCTCTCTGCCCCTCCCCGACCCCTCAAAGAAAAGTGTGCTCTGTGGAGCTAAGAAATGATTTCACTTCTATGATAAAGAATAATTATTTATTTATACATAATATGACTAAAAACTAATAAGCTACATTAGGAAAAAGAAAGGAAATCTGGAACAATTTTGCAGTTGAAACTCTATACGTAGAGTTCTTATAATCAGATTACAAGGGCAGCAGAGTTTCATGAGCTCTTTTAACCCCTTTCCCAATTTTCTTCTTTAATCTTTTAGAATTTATAATATTCAAAGACTACATGTTAAAATTATGCTATGAAAATAGTTATTAGTGAAATAGTGAGATACTGAAACCAATAACTATCCTGAAGAAAAGTGATATCCAAAACACGGTTTGGGTTTTTTTGTGTTTTTTGTGTGTGTTTTTTTTTGTGTTCGTTTGTTTGTTTTGCAATTACTGACTTCAATTATTAGGATCAGAGAGGAAGAGAAGGAATTAGCAAGAACTGCATCCTAAAACTGAAACTAAGGCGGTGACAGTTTTAAGTCATTTTAATACTACATTTCAAAACATGTGAAATGCTCTTCAATATATACACAGCAATGATAATTATACAGTGTAACAGACAAACCGAGTCAGTCCTGAGGAAGAATAATGCTTAGATGACTGAAAACAAATGAAACCCTATTGCTTTTCAGCTGGAACCACTGTAACTGAAGGCCCCAGAATCCTTACAAGGAACACTACCCCCCACATGCAGTTATCTGCTACCCACCACATTAGACAGGAGGCGCCAGTTATCACTTCCTGTCCCATTACTATTGGGCACAACTTTATCTATCTATAACCGAGAGACAGAAAAAATACTCCTTTCCTCTTCTCTCCAGAGAGGACAGGAAGAGTATTTCACACTGCATCCTGATTTCAACGCACCAGCCATGCGTTGAAAATAAACTTAATTATGAAGACAAACACAAACAGGACCTCTGAGTCCTACAGTCACGTGAACATAAAGGTAAGTAAATAGTATTTCTGGGGGTGCACTGTCCAAACATCAATCTGTACAAAGAGACCCGAAAGTGAATGAGCTGCTGACTGTTGGCCAATTTCAGTCTGTCTTCATCGTTCTAGTAATCTAGTTCCCTCCCAGCTCACCATCAGGTCTCTCTTCACCAAGGTGTCTTCACCAAGACAAAGGAGTCCCAGGCTAGGAAGGATCATCACTTGTAGACCCACCATGAATTATTAATGTCTGCCTTATCCATCTGCACACGGAGATGTGAACAAGAAGTACTCCAGTGACAGGGAGGGGGGACCGCACCCTGGGGAGTGTCCAGCTGTCTCTCAGAAACCATGCAACAGACCAGAGCTCCCTGGGACTTGAGATGCACTGCACTCCTCTAAACAAGCTCAGACCCGGGCAGACAAGCAGAAAAATGAAACCACAGCGAGATAAGAGATACATCTGTCTGTCCACCCTTGACTGGACCTCAGCTGGTTCAGAAGATTGTGGTCACTGTTCACCTGGGGACTGACAGGCAGGGCAACCAAGATAAGAACAGCATAATCCAAAGTCAGGCAGAGCCAGATCTGGAAATGGCAATTATGATAGTGAAAGGGATTAAAAGAAGTACCCAGAAACTACAAGATCGAAAAGAAAATACTGTCATAAAAGACTCTAATAGCTGAAAAATGTGAAGTGGTTGGCACCGGGAGTGAAAGATAATCTGAATAAGAATGTCAGCATCTTAAGAAAGCAGTGTCTGGAAGATCATGAAGGATGTGTGGATGTTGGCAAATCAAGGAGACTGGCTATCTACATAATGGGGGATATGCCAGGTATGATTTGGGGCACCACCTGGGAGGATTTACGCACCCATCACTTTCCACCAGAGAGAGTCTCCCTCTCTCTGACCCTCCCCCATTCATGCTCTGTCTCT